GTAGGCAGCGTAACTGTGTAGGCAGCGTAACTCTGTAGGCAGTGTAACTGTGTAGACAGTGTAACGCTTTAGCCATTGTAATTGTGTAGGCAGTGTAACTGACTGTGTATGCACCGTAACTGTGTTTGCAGCGTAACTGTTTAGGCAGTGTAACTGACTGACTGTGTAGGCAACGTAACTGTGTAGGTAGTGTAACTGACTGTGTAGGCAGTGTTACTGACAGTGTAGGCAGTGTAACTGACTATGTAGGCAGTGTGAAATTGTAGGCAGCGTAACTGTGTAGGCAGTGTAACTGTGTTGGGAGTGTAACTGACTGTGTAGGCAGCGGAACTGTGTAGGCAGTGCAACTGTGAAGGCAGTGTAACTGTGTAGGCAGCGAACTGTGTTGGCAGGATAACTATGTAGGCAGGGTAACTGACTGTGTAGGCAGCGTAACTGTGTCGGCAGTGTAACTGTGTAGGCAGCGTAACTGACTGTGTAGGCACCGTAACTGACTGTGCAGGTAGGTTTCTGACTGTGTAGGCAGTGTAACAGTGAAGGCAGCGAAACTGTGTAGGCAGAGTAACTGACTGTGTAAGCAGCATAACTGTGTAGGCAGCGTAACTGTGTAGGCAGTACAGCTCTGTAAGTAGTGCAACTGTGTAGGTAGCGTAACTGACTGTGTAGGCAGTGTAACTGTGTATGCAGCGTGTCTTTGTAGGCAGTGTAACTGACTGACTGTATAGGCAGCGTAACTGTGTAGGCATTGTAACTGACTGTGTAGGCTGCGTAACTGTGTAGGAAGTGTAATTGTGTCGGCAGTGTAACTGATTGTGTAGGCAGCGTAACTGTGTAGGCAGCATAACTGTATAGGCTGCGTAACTCACTGCGTAGGTAGCGTAACTGACTGTGTAGGCAGTGTAACTGTGTATGCAGTGTAACTGACTGTGAAGGCAGTGTAACTGTGTAGGCAGCGTAACTGTGTAGGCAGCGTAACTGTGTAGGCAGCATAACTTTGTCAGGAGTGTTACTGTGTAGGCAGCGTAACCGTGTCGGCAGTGTAACTGTGTAGGCACCGTAACTGACTGTGTAGGCAGGTTACTGACTGTATAGGCAGTGTAACTGTGTAGGCAGCTTAACTGTGTAGGATGCGTAGCTGTGTAGGCAGTGTTACTCCGTAGGTAGTGTAACTGTGTAGGCAGTGTTACTCCGTAGGTAGTGTAACTGTGTAGGCAGTGTTACTCCGTAGGTAGTGTAACTGTGTAGGCAGCGTAACTGATTGTGTAGGCAGTGTAACTATGTATCCAGCGTAACTGTGTAGGCAGTGTAACTGACTATGAAGGCTGCGTAACTGTGTCGGCAGTGTAACTGTGTCGGCGGTGTAACTGTATCGGCGGTGTAACTGTGTAGGCAGCGGAACTGACTGTGTAGGCAGCATAAGTGTGTTGGCAGTGTAAATGTGTAGGCAGGTTAACTATGTAGGCAGTGTAACTGACTGTGTAGGCAGTGTAACTGACTTTGTAGGCAGTGTAACGGACTGTGTAAGCAGTGTAATTGTGTAGGCAGTGTAGTTAACTGTGTAGGCAGCGTAACTGTGTAGGCAGCGTTTCTGTGTCGGCAGTGTAACTGTGTAGGCACCGTAACTGACTGTGTAGGCACGTTAGTGACTGTGTAGGCAGCGTAACTAATTGTGTAGGCAGTGTAACTGTGTATGCAGCGTAACTGTGTAGGCAGTGTAACTGACTGACTGTGTAGGCAGCGTAACTGTGTAGGTAGTGTAAATGTTTTGGCAATGTATCTGTGTAGGCAGCGTAACAGACTGTGTGGGCAGCGTAACTGACTGTGTAGGTATCGTAACTGTGTAGGCAGCGTTACTGTGTAGGCAGCGTTACTGTGTAGGCAGCATAACTGTGTAGGCAGCGTAATTGTGTAGGCAGTGTAGTTGACTGTCTAGGCGGCGTAACTGTGTCGGCAGTGTAACTGTGTAGGCAGCGTAACTGTGTAGGCACCGTAACTGACTGTGCAGGCAGGATTCTGACTGTGTAGGCAGTGTAACAGTGAAGGCAGCGAAACTGTGTAGGCAGTGTAACAGACTGTGTAAGCAGCATAACTGTGTAGGCAGCGTAACTGTGCAGACAGTATAGCTCTGTAAGTAGTGTAACTGTGTAGGTAGCGTAACTGACTGTGTAGGCAGTGTAACTGTGTATGCAGCGTGTCTTTGTGGGCAGTGTAACTAACTGACTGTATAGGCAGCGTAACTGTCTAGGCATTGTAACTGACTGTGTAGGCTGCGTAAGAGTGTAGGAAGTGTAACTGTGTCGGCAGTGTAACTGATTGTGTAGGCAGCGTAACTGTGTAGGCAGCATAACTGTATAGACTGCGTAACTGACTGTGTAGGCAGTGTAACTGTGTACGCAGCGTAACTGTGTCGGCAGTGTAACTGTGTAGGCACCGTAACTGTGTAGGATGCGTAACTGTGTAGGCAGTATAACTCCGTAGGTAGTGTAACTGTGTAGGCAGCGTAACTGACTGTGTAGGCAGTGCAACTATGTATCCAGCGTAACTGTGTAGGCAGTGTAACTGACTGACTGTGTAGGCAATGTAACTGACTATGAAGGCTGCGTAACTGTGTCGGCAGTGTAACTGTGTCGGCAGTGTAACTGTGTCGGCGGTGTAACTGTGTAGGCAGCGTAACTGTGTAGGCAGCATTAGTGTGTTGGCAGTGTAACTGTGTAGGCAGGTTAACTATGTAGGCAGTGTAACTGTGTAGGCAGTGTAACTATGTAGGCAGTGTAACTGACTTTGTAGTCAGTGTAACGGACTGTGTAAGCAGTGTAATTGTGTAGGCAGTGTAGTTAACTGTGTAGGCAGCGTAACTGTGTAGGCAGCGTATCTGTGTCGGCAGTGTAACTGTGTAGGCAGCGGAACTGGCTGTGTAGGCATCGTAACTGACTGTGTAGGCTCGTTAGTGACTGTGTAGGCAATGAAACTGTGTCGGCAGTGTAACTGACTGTGTAGGCAGCGTAACTGCGCAGGCAGCGTATTTGTGTAGGCAGTTTAACTCTGTAGACAGTGTAACGCTGTAGCCAGTGTAACTGTGTAGGCAGCGTAACTGATTGTGTACGCAATGTAACTGTGTATGAAGCGTAACTGTGTAGGCAGTGTAACTGACTGACTGTGTAGGCAGCGTAACTGTGTAGGATGCGTAACTGTGTAGGCAGTATAACTCCGTAGGTAGTGTAACTGTGTAGGCAGCGTAACTGACTGTGTAGGCAGTGCAACTATGCATCCAGCGTAACTGTGTAGGCAGTGTAACTGACTGACTGTGTAGGCAATGTAACTGACTATGAAGGCTGCGTAACTGTGTAGGTAGTGTAACTGTTTCGGCAGTGTATCTGTGTAGGGAGCGTAACTGACTGTGTGGGCAGCGTAACTGACTGTGTAGGTATCGTAACTGTGTAGGTAGCGGAACTCTGTAGGCAGTGTAACTTAGTAGGCAGCGGAACTCTGTAGGCAGTGTAACTGAGTAGCCAGTGTAACTCTGTAGGCAGCGGAACTGTGTAGGCAATGTAACCGACTGTGCAGGCTGCTTAACTATGTAGGCAGTGTAACTGACTGTGTAGGCAGTGGAACTGTGAATTTAGTGTAACTGTGTAGGCAGTGTAACTGTGTAGGCAGCTTAACTATGTAGGCAGTGTAACTGACTGTGTAGGCAATGAATCTGACTGTGAAGGCAGTGTAACTGTGAAGGCAGTGTAACCGACTGTGTAGGCAGTGACACCGACTGTGTAGGCTGCTTAACTATGTAGGCAGTGAAACTGTGTAGGGAGTGTACCTGTAGGCAGTGTAACTGTGTAGGCAGTGTAACTGTGTTGGCAGTGTAACTGTGTAGGCAGTGTAACTGTGTAGGCAGTGTAACTGATTGTGTAGGCAGTGTAACTGTGTAGGTAGTGTAACTGACTGTGTAGGCAGTGTAAATGTAGGCAGTGTAACTGTGTAGGCAGTGTAACAGTGTTGGCAGTGTAACTGTGTAGGCAGTGTAACTCTGTAGGCAGGTTAACTATGTAGGCAGTGTAATTGACTGTGTAGGCAGTGTAACTATGTAGGCAGTGTAACTGACTTTGTAGGCAGTGTAACGGACTGTGTAGGCAGTGTAACTGACTTTGTAGGCAGTGTAATTGACTGTGTAGGCAGTGTAACTATGTAGGTAGTGTAACTGACTTTGTAGGCAGTGTAACGGACTGTGTAGGCAGTGTAATTGTGTAGGCAGTGTAGTTAGCTGTGTAGGCAGCGTAACTGTGTAGGCAGCGTAACTGTGTAGGCACCGTAACTGTGTCGGCAGTGTAACCGTGTGGGCAGCGTAATTTTGTAGCCAGCGTAACTGTGTCGGCAGTGTAACTGTGTAGGCAGCGTAACTGACTGTATAGGCACCGTAACTGACTGTGTAGGCAGTGTAACTGACTGTGTAGGCAGCGTAACTGTGTGGGGAGTGTAACTGACTGTGTAGGCAGCGTAATTGTGTAGACAGCGTAACTGTGTAGGCAGCGTAACTGTGTAGGCAGCGTAACTGTGTAGACAGTGTAACATTGTAGCCAGTGTAACTGTGTAGGCAGTGTAACTGTGTATGCAGCGTAACTGTGTAGGCAGTGTAACTGTTTCGGCAGTGTAACTGTGTAGGCCGCGTAACTGACTGTGTAGGCAGCGTAACTGTGTCGGCAGCGTAACTGACTGTGTAGGCAGCGTAACTGACTGTGTAGGCAGTGTAATTGTGTAGGCAGCGTAACTGACTTTGTAGGCAGCGTAACTGACTGTGTACGCAGCGTAACTGTGTAGGCAGCGTAACTTTGTCGGCAGCGTAACTGACTGTGTAGGTAGCGTAACTGACTGTGTAGGCAGTGTAACTGTGTAGGCTGCGTAACTGACTGTGTAGGCAGCGTAACTGTCGGTGTAGGTAGCGTAACTGACTGTGTAGGCAGTATAACTGTGTAGGCAGCGTTACTGACTGTCTTTTGTTATTCTAGTCAGTGCCAGCTACAGTCCTCCATCGGTCCCAGTTGAGTCTCAATGTGGGGAAGAGGTTTTCTCTAACTGTGATGGCACTGCTTCGAGTGGTCAGCCACAACGTCAGCAGCAAGAACACCAAGCAGTTGAACTTCCTCGAGGTCAGTGGCCTGAGCAGCAATGGTATGAGCTCTCGTATGACCATCAGGTTGAGGGAAATGTTGAGTTCCACTGGGGTGAGCAATTTTTACAGCCAATCATGCTGCAGAATGTCCAGATGCTTGACCGTCTACAAAAGGATCTCCAACCTGGTGAGCAGCTTGAAGAATTTGTTGTTACTTCCCAGCATTCAATCCCAAATGAAGAATCTGTGGAATATATGTCTAAGCACGAAGCAAACTTCAAATTTTCTTCCGAGAACTCGCGTGGATATATGTCGGATTTAAATGATCTTGATAGTTCGAAACCTATTTATGCTACTGATGCATATCTTAATTGGGCCGTGCCGGAAACACCTATTCACTCACTCAATGGGTCTGGATCACCATTTTCTCCTGCTTTTAATATTAATCTTGAGTCTCCTATCAATCCATGGATTCTATCTAATGATGTTGCATTGACAAATACAGCCGAGAATACATCACATAATCTATTTGATATGATTTCCAACTCCCCTCACCAAATTCAAAGCAAGACTCTTCTTACGATGAACTCTATTACTCAACCAAACACCTCAGGAAACATGGGTGATACTTCGCTTGCTCCTCCAGTGTCTCGGGAAAAAGTTTTGTTTGACGCCAAAATAAACAAAACGTATACAAAACTCTTTAGCCCGTACAACAAGGTGAACTGTCCACTGTGTGGTATTGTATTTCCACGCAGAAGATTCCTTGCGATTCACATAAAATCACATGGTGCTAATAAGATTTACAAATGCTCCGTGTGCGACTGTTCCTTCAACATAAAGGTCTCCCTTGATAAACACAACATACAAGCTCATGGACCACCGATGGCCAAGAATAATATCCTGGATCAGCAACAAAAGGATAACTTGGCAAGCCCCCGGACTCGTGAGCCAAGCCCCTGGACTCGTGAGCCAAGCCCCCAGATTCGTGAGCCAAGTCCCCGGACTCGTGAGAACAGCACCCGGACTCGTGAGCCAAGAACCCGGATTCGTAAGCCAAGTCTCCGGACTCGTGAGCCAAGCACCCGGACTCGTAAGCCAAGTACCCGGACTCGTGAGCCAAGTACCCGGACTCGTGAGCCAAGACCCCGGACTCGTGAGCCAAGCACCCGAACCCGTGAGCCAAGCACCCAGACTCGTGAGCCAAGCATCCCGGCCTTACAGCAAAGCATCCAGACTCCACTAAGTAGTTTGTTACATACACTTGAAACTTCGTCTGCGCCTGAAGTGTTTCTGGTTAAGCTTTTCCTTGACTTCTTAGAAGAAAAAAAACATCAAAGTTTTCTTTGTAACCCGGACTGCAAAATGAGCTGTCAACTGTGTGGTGTTTCATATACAAACGAAGAAAATCCTGTGAATCACACGAGGTCCCATGGAGCTAATAAAAGATATCGGTGTACCAAGTGTGATTGTTCATTCAAGCAGAAGGTCAACACTGACGATCATAGTGTACTCGCTCAGGAGGCACCCATCATCAGTGAGGTCACCCAGGCTCAGCAAGAAGGAAGAGACTTGGCAAACATGTCGACACCTGGGCCAATCATGTCGACTGTTTTGCCGAGCGCCCCGAGCGTGCCGCCGAGCGCCCCGACCGTGCAGCCGAGCGCCCCGACCGTGCAGCCGAGCGTCCCGACCGTGCCGCCGAGCGCCCCGACCGTGCAGCCGAGCATTCCGACCGTACCGCCGAGCGCCCCGACCGTGCAGCTGAGCATTCCGACCGTACAGCCGAGCGCCCAGACTCTGCAAATCACTTCGCCAGATACACTTGAAATTTCGTCAGCTCAGGCTAAGCTTTTCTTTAGCTGCAAAAGGAAAAGAAAACAAAGTTTCTCCAGCCCGGACTACAGAGTGAACTGTCAATTGTGTGGTGTTTCATGTACAAACGTAGACGATCATGTGAATCCCACGAGGTCCCATGGAGCTAATAAAAGATATCGGTGTACCAAGTGTGATTGTTCATTCAAGCAGAAGGTCAACATTGAAGATCGTAATCTACTCTCTCATGAGGCACCCATCATTAGTGAGGTCACCGTGGCTCAGCAAGAAGGGAGAGACTTGGGAAGCATGTCGACGCCTGGACCTAGAAACTCAGTAGACGGGCACGGGACTTCATCTGTTCCTCTACTGTCTCAGGAAAATGTTCACTCTAACTACAAAGATAAAAAAACACGTAAAAGACCATTTAACCCGCACTTCAAGGTGAACTGTCCACTGTGTAGTATTACATACGCCAATAAAGGACATCTCAAGAATCACATGAAATGCCATGGTGCTAAAAGGTATTATAGTTGCTCCATGTGCGATTGTTCTTTCAACAAGGATGTCAACCTTGTGAAACATAATTTACGCGCTCACACGGGATCGACGCCCAGGAAAAGCATCTTGGCACAGCAACAAAGCAACAAGGGAAAGATTTGCTAAAGAGCGTGATTCCTCGGTCCAGTAGTTATGTGCATACATGTGACACTTAGTTTACTCCCCCCACTGTCTCAGGCTAAGGTTATCTTTAGCTGCAAGATGAAAGAAACACTTCAAATATGCTTTAAACCATATTGCAAAGTCATCTGTCCATTGTATGGCATTTCCTTTGTAAGAAAAGGACATCTTATGAATCAATAAATCTCACAATGGTAATAAGATAGGTGTTACATGTGCAATTGTTCCTGCACCCGGAAAACTTGCATTGATAAATATGATTTTTCACTATTATAAGGCATCGAAGACCTACAATGTTTTTATGGAACATCAAAAAGATTAATTCTTCCCTCTGTTGAAGCTGAATTATTAATTTCGTGACTGACAGCTCAAGTCGCTTGACCATCTTACATTATATAATTTATTGTTTAGAATAAATATGTATTTTCGGTTTTAAGTATTTCTTTCTAATCAGTATTTTGTAGTTTTTAATTTCTTTGTTTATTTTTTGTTAAATGATATAATGCATGAAAATCCTCCAGGATTTTCCTTATTTTAATTGTGGGCCTCAAAAAATTAAAGTGATTATGTTAATGCTAAACAAATTTTTTAATTAATAAATGTTTTAAATAGTTGTCATGTAAATCTATAATAAAATTTTGAAAATATGATTTAATTTTTAACAAGGCTCTAATACATGTATAGGTTATAAAAAATTAAAATTTTTCTATATATTACAATACATAAAATGATAAATTCTCTCTCAAAATTTTACGACGAAAGTACATGATTTAAACGGCTTTGTATTATGAATGTTTCTTGTGCAGTTCAAACAGTCGAAAAAAAAGAGAGACATTCGATATCTTCAATTTACAAAAGCTTATCGAACTAGGCCTCACGAGATTCGATAAAAAGTTAGGGAAACCTGATATTGGTGGGTTAACTCTAGCTGGTTTAAAAGAAGCAAAGTTGCCATAAATGGAGCCAATTCCGAATTGGGATTCGGTTGCAACACGAGTGCCTCGATACACTACCCAGAGACGTACAGTGTGTACAATATATATATATATATATTGTACACACTGTATACATGTATATTGTGTATATATATATTGTACACACTGTATATATATGTATATTGTGTGTATATATATATATATAAATATATATATATTGTCGGGGTTCACCATAAGAGGGGCGAGTAACAGTATACCCAAGGTCACTCACCGTAGCCCTGCAGGTCTTCACTCTATCCTCGCGGCGCCACTGTACGCCAGGAGAGTATCCCAGTCAATCCCAACCGGACTCTAATCGAGAATGAGTGAGAACACAGCTTGTTCTCTTTACAGCATGTGTGCCCGCCCCGACACTAGGCTCTACTACTAACCACAAGGTTGCCAACTGGTGTTTCCCGTGTCCAGTAACACGTCAGTGGTTTTGTTGAATTGTGGTAGCAGTGGCAAGAACACACTCAATAGATCTGATATCAGGCAGGTATTTATTTCTATCACTCTATTTCCTTTCATGTATTATATAGCCACAAGAAATATGGAGGGGATGATATAAACACCAAGGTTTTTTTTGTGTTTTACTTAAAAATATTCAAAGTATTATATCCGTATCCATCAACAATCAAGTACACTGCAGAAATTCACTCCCTCTTCATATATATATCGAGGCGCACCTAGAGGGTAACACTCCCCCTTCTCGTCAATGTCATAATCAGCTGAGCCGCGCCCTTCTCACCGTGTGAACGTTTATTGCTTGTTTTCCTAGCGTCACACGCTCTGTTTCTTTAAATTCGCATGAATCACTATATTTGTCATCAACACAATACTTCTATAATGGCAAATAGAATGCAATGAATCGCCACACTGATCTCAAGTTCAATAACTCATTCCTACAGCACTTAACGTGATATTTCACTGTACTAGAGTAATGCACTGTACTTAATAATAATTGCAATGAATGCACTTAACCACGGTACTGTTCTTAGATTCAGTAATTCCTCTCGTAGGCGATAACACACTTAATCATTGCACACATGAATGATTATTCAATACACAAGCATAGACATATATATATATATATATATATATATATATATATATATATATATATATATATATATATATATATATATATATATAGATAAATCAAAGCCATCAATAATAGTAATAATGTAGTTACTGGGCACGTAGCCTAACACCAAATACTGGCACATATATATATATATATATATATATATATATATATATATATATATATATATATATATATATATATATATATATATATATTCTCTCACTAAATGATCATATTAAAGTCTCGTGAAAGACATTATTAACACAGTAAATTCATCAATTACTCCGGGTGCCTGCACATACCAATAATAATAAATACCGTGAGTGCTCTATGTAGCCCCACTGCACACTGGTGCCTTACTGTGACATGGGTGAGCCTTGCTCACGACATACAAAATACTCTGGCTAAATAATATAGCTGACTAAAGGGGAATTGGGAGGGAAACTAGAATCACCTACTTCCACCTATCCTCCGGTGAGAGTTGAGTTGTAGCTCCTGGTCCAGGCTCCTGCCTCGTGTAGGGAACGCCCCCACACACACCCTGTCGTGTCCTCCAGGAACTCAATCAACGTCCCAAGATAAACGTGTCGTCTCTGTGTTCTGTCCTCCGCGGGTCCGTGCCCCTCCTCCACGTCTTGTAGGGTTGGAGTCGGTCTCCCGGCCGTCAACTTCTCCCAGCTACGGCTGCCTGCCTACATCTCGGCTGCAGTCGTTCGGATTCCCGATTAGTGTCTTCTTTCGCTGCTTCCCAGTGGATTGGCCCAGCCGCTACGTCGTCACTGTGAAGCTATCAGACGTCCCAGACGATACTGCCTAGACTTCACCTGCACGGCACCCGACCCTGGAGCACTTGATGCTCAATATTCCGTCAATTCCCTCTTCGGTCCACACATGGAATGAAGGAAGACCTCTGGCGTACTTGCAGACTACGGGTGACGCGTAAGATCCACGGGAGTGACGTATTACTGTCAGATTGACAGGATCAACCTTCACACATCCGTCCACCTTGACGTGTCGTGTCAGACTGATGGCGCCACCGTGGCGCTCTGACCGGACCCCCTTCCTTCGTGACGTCATATTCGCCATGGGAGGTTTTCATTGGCTCCCTGTGCCACATCGCTGTCGGTGACCAATCTGGTGCCACTGACGTCACACCGTTTTGGCGGCAAAACAGAGTAGCCAGCGCCATATTGGCTTCCTAAAGGGCCTAAACCATAACCCAAAATACTCTTCTTTTACAAATTTCTCGATACCTCGAGAACACTACACTCTCCCACATATATCAAACTGATGCCTGCGACGTAGAGAACGCTCGAGTAAAGTGGACATGACTCTTACAGCAGGCGTGGGAGAAATATAAGGGGGGAACACCGTCACAATATATATAATATATATATATATATATATATATATATATATATATATATATATATATATATATATATATATATATATATATATATATATATATATATGCTGTATGACTCTTACAGCAGGCGTGGGAGAAATATAAGGGGGGAACACCGTCACAATATATATAATATATATATATATATATATATATATATATATATATATATATATATATATATATATATATATATTATATATATTGTGACGGTGTTCCCCCCTTATATTTCTCCCACGCCTGCTGTAAGAGTCATGTCCACTTTACTCGAGCGTTCTCTACGTCGCAGGCATCAGTTTGATATATGTGGGAGAGTGTAGTGTTCTCGAGGTATCGAGAAATTTGTAAAAGAAGAGTATTTTGGGTTATGGTTTAGGCCCTTTAGGAAGCCAATATGGCGCTGGCTACTCTGTTTTGCCTACTTGCTGTTTTGCCTATATATATATATATATATATATATATATATATATATATATATATATATATATATATATATATATATATATATATATATATTATTATTAAATATGACCGAAAAAGTAAGATTAATAATTCTAACACGAATTTTCTCAATATTTGTTTTGTTTCTTTTCACTGTCGATGGTAATTGAAAAATCAATTCTTCAAAATTCATTTTTATTTCTAGTCTGACACGACACTTCAACGCGTTTCGTAATAACTTATTACATTTTCAAAGACTTTAGTTTACACACACGTAACTATAACCTGTAAACACTAAACAGAGTTCTATGCTATCATTTAAACAGCTTTCATCTTATATACCCGCATTTGGGTGAGGTGATATGTTACAACAGTTTTGGATGAGGTGAACAAAACTTTCAACACAAGATAGAACACGAAATAATGGGTATAAATTGGGCAAATTAAAGGGAAGGATGGAAGTAACTGCAAAGGGCCTATTGGCCCATATTTCTTGATGCTTCTATATTGGTGCGGAGTCTTGAAGTGGGTAGAATACAGCTGTGCATTAATTGGCTGTTGATTGCTGGTGTTGATTTCTTGATGTGTAGTGCCTCACAGATGTCAAGCCGCCTGCTATCGCTGTATCTATCGATGATTTCTGTGTTGTGTGTTAAGATTTCTCTGGTGATGATGATGGATGGATTCTCTGGTGATGATGGATTGTTGTGGGAAGAGATTATATGTCCCTTATGGAGCCCTGTTGCTTATGCATCGTTAATCGCCTGGAAAGAGATGTTGTTGTCTTGCCTATATACTGAGTTCTTTGAGGCTTACAGCCCCCAAGTGGGCATTTGAAGGCATAGACGACGTTGGTCTCTTTTAAAGCGTTCTGCCCTGTGTCTGGAGAGTTTCTCATGAGTAGGTTGGCCGTTTTTTTGGTTTTATAGTAAATCGTCAATTGTATCTTTTGATTTTTGTCGGTAGGGATAACGTTCCTATCAACAATATCTTTCAGGACCTTTTCCTCCGTTTTATGAGCTGTGGAAAAGAAGTTCCTGTAAAATAGTCTAATAGGGGGTAAAGGTGTTGTGTTAGTTGTCTCTTCAGAGGTTGCATAGCGTTTCACCTTCCTTCTTATGATGTCTTCAACGAAACCATTGGAGAAGCCATTGTTGAGTAGGACCTGCTTTACCCTTCTGAGTTCTTCATCGACTGAGTGCTTCCATCCTGAGCTGTGGCTGAGAGCACGGTCGACATAAGCATTAACAACTCTCCTCTTGTACCTGTCTGGGCAGTCACTGTTGGCATTGAGGCACATTCCTATGTTTGTTTCCTTAGTGTAGACTGCAGTGTAGACTATAGACTAATATATATATATATATATATATATATATATATATATATATATATATATATATATAATAATAATAAATATATATAGTGAGGATTCCAGGCCTTGCCACAGGAGGGGGCAGTCGTCGCCACTCGCGTTCCCAGTGGTTGTTTGGCGCTGCGAGGAGGTGGTTTGGTGTTGGTGGCATGGTACGCCTGCTTACCGGCGTGTCAGCTGGCTGCATGGCGGCCGCTGGGAGTAGGCCGATTCGTCGTGTAGATACTGTGGGGCTTGCTTTCTCAGCTCCTGTGGACTGGCCTCTCGTAGAAGTCATGTTACTGGACGTTTAGCATGTGAAGGTCGCCGATCATCTAGGCCTGGAGAAACTTTCGTCTATGCGTGTGAGGGTGAAATTTGCCACGTCAGCCGGCTACCTTGATTTTGTGCACCGCTACACTGACGAGTCGTTTACGCTACCTGCTTCTGCCGTGATTGTGCGGATGACGGATCCTTGGGGCCCGCTGACTTTTGTGAGTGTGCACGGTGTGCCAGTGGATTTCCCAGAGCAGGAGCTGCATTCCGAGTTTGCCAGGTTTGGTGCGGTGGTGACACATCGCTTCAACTTTTTACATTCTAGTAGGCTGCATGGACTCCGCCTTGGCGTGTGGATGCTTCCCGCCAAACACACACCGAAACTACGACGTTGGTACAACGTTCGAACAAGTTTTAACACCTAACCAGTTATAACAACCAATATAGCAAGTTATAACAACGTTCTAATACGTCATAAACACGTTAAGCCAAGATGTAACAACTTTATTACAAGTTGCAACAAGCGGAAAATAGAGACAGTTTCGGTTTGTGTTTCCAGGGTTGGCATGCGACTCACCGTCGACATCCCTTCCTGGGTTTTCATCTGCGGGCTATCCATGATAATATTCTATCAGGGCCATTCGCGCACCTGTTTCTGGTGTGGAAAATAGGGCCACGTTGCAGCCGTGTGCAGCACGTCTGCACTATGGAGCCTTCTGTATTTCATGCGGCTGATTTTCCTCCCTTGCGCTCACATAGTGCTTCGCCTGTGGATCCTCGCTCTGTACATGAGGGAGTGGTGGTGTCTGCGGCGCCGCCCCCGCAGCCTACCCCTTCGTCTCCAAAGGATTCTTCGCCTGTGCTCGCTCCTGCTCCTCTGCCCATCCTGCTATCATCGTGGGATCCCTCCCCTGTGCGGGCCCCTTCCTTGTCACCAGCTGCGCCTGCTGTCTCTCCGACTCCGGTGTCCCCAGTGGATGGCGGCCTTATCCTCCATGTTGTTGAGGATGCCCTTTTGCGCAGTCATGTGCTCCCAGATGTGGGGCGGCCTGCCGCTGGCTCTTCTCGGGTGCCTTCTGTGGGGGGCGATAGTTCTGATGACCTCCGACCTGTTCCGAAGCGTTTCCGGACGGACCAGGTTGTGTCGCGCTCGTGCGTGGGCGGATGAGTGTGCGGACATGGATGAGGATACTGTGGAGAGCTCTGCGTTGCCTCCTGTGTCAAGCCCTTCGCCTCCTGCTGTTGGCCCCCCTCCGTGGAAGGCTGCCCCTGGTGCCCGTGACCTCGTCGTGATATTGAAGAAGGATGGGCGTCTGCTCCTGTTCCCGGGTTAGGGAGCCCTCGGCACGTCTGCGGATCCCCCCTGTGCACAACCCTGTGAGCCGCCCAGTGCGTTTTCCGGTCCCTTCCCGGTGCTCGGCCGCCTGGGGAGATGCACCTCCCGCTCTTCTCGCTTGCCGAGGAAGTGTTAGACGAGTCGAATTCTTTGTTGGTCCATTATGACGTTCTGATGCGTCTAGTCCCGTGTGACCCTGCTACCTTTTGGGTTCCGCATGTGAAGAAACTTTTTAGTGGGGTGCCGGATTTCATGATTCAGCTGAGTGTATCTCCTGGGCGTCCGGTATCCGATGTTGTAATGGTGGTTTGGGAGGCTTATTACCTGTGCTTTCCAGTGCAGGAGTGCCCTGATAAATATGTGTAGTCCTTGGGGTTGGTGATGTTTCTGTGCTTCTGTTTTTCTTCCTGGGTGTGTGTGACTGGCTGTTTTTATTATTATTATTATTTTCTACCACAAACATAGCCACACATTTGTGACTGGCTGTATTTGTGACTGCGTTTGTGTCTTTTGTTTGTGCATAGGTGTTTCTTCCTGGCTCCGATGTGTGCCTGATAGGTTATGTTTTGTTACTGTATTTTTCATGTTTCTGGTTCTGTGTTTTTGCCTCTGTGCTTAGGGTTTGCGAGGCCTCATGTTTTATGTACTACTAGCAGTATCCGGCCACGTGTTGCTGTGGCCCAGCAACACATGTGCGTTGCTGAGCCACAGCAACTATCCTTGTCCCCCAGTCCACCCAACCATTCCCCACTCCACCATCCCCTTTTCCTTCCCACTATGTCCAACTCCCCTTTGTCCTCCCCACCATTTTCCATTCCCCCAACCCCTCGTCCCCACCATCCCAAACTCCCCCGTCTGTTCGTCCTTCCCCACCATTACCCCCTCCCTTGTCCCCTCGTCCACCCCACAATCTCTCGCTTCCGGCCCCCTTGTCATCCCCACTCCCTCGCCCGATGCCTTCCCAAATGGTCTGATGTTCACATCAGAAAATTGGGAACATCAAGTGATCTGATGTTCCCATCACTGAAATATAAAAAAACAGTTAAAAATTGTATGAAAATGTTAAGAAATAAATAATTAACTATACTCACGAAATGAACGGTATGGTAAACAACACAGCTCAATTCCAACACAATGTCACACAAAATAATTAAAAAAAAAAATCGAAATCTATGAAAATAAAATTTTACAATGCAATCAGAAACATTGAAATGGAATTCATGACATATTTAGTATAGTGTGCATGTTGCCATTATGTTCAACAGATGGCGCTGTTTTTCAAAAACGCATGTTTTTACCTGTCACAGGTGTGGCATCTATATAGTAGGTATAAAAAAGATGCGCCTATTCGAATGCAACGTTGTGTCCAATTTTTAAAGCAATTGGTGAAGAACTTTTGGAGATTACAGCGTATGTTGCTCTTATGTCCAACAGATGGCACTGTTTAAAAAAAAAAAAATTTTTTACTGACACACGTGAGGCATGTATATAGTAGATATATAAAAAGACGTGCCTATTCGAATGCAACATTGTGTCAAAATTTCAAAGCAATCGGTAATGAGGTTTCGAAGATTTCCCTCACATGAAAAACACATAAAAAAAACAGTTTTTCAGATAATACATGTTTTTTTTACCCTCACAGACATGATATAGTATGCGAACAAGCCTGAATGGTCCCCAGGACTATATGCGAATGAAAACTCACACCCCAGAAGTGACTCGAACCCATACTCCCAGGAGCAACGCAACTGGTAACTACAGGGCGCCTTAATCCACTTGACCATCACGGCCGTCAAAAGGAAGTGATAGCCAAGGCTATTTGAGCCACTTCCCCGACGGCAACTCGGATGGTAATCTTGGGCATAGCATATCAAAGCAATCGGTGAAGAACTTTCAGAGATCTGCCCTTTTGAACAAACGAACATTTCCATTTTTATTTATATCGATAATCCAAGATCAACCGCGAAGAATGTCACTCGTGTGGCTCCAAAGGACGCCGTTTAGGTCTTTGTTCTTGGGAAAATATTAGTAACCCATGAATCACTGACCTATGAAAATTTAGAGAAACCTTCAGATGGAAAATGGAACCGCAACTATTGCAGGTAAAGTTATCTTTATCGGCTTTGGGTTTCTTTTTTCCTTTGCCCCTCTTGGTCAGTGGTCGCCCAATAAGGGAGGATAAGATACCAACCTGGGGCCAGATTCACGGAGCAGTTATGCAAGTACTTACGAGCGTGTACATCTTTCCTCAATCTTCGACGGCTTAGGTCAACCCGTTCTCGCACTTGCTTCAGTCAATATTGGCTTATTTAATAAGTGCATATGTGACATACTAATTGATTGTAAATATTTTAGTTTACCTTGAAAAGCTTCATAGAAAACACCGACCTCACCTAGCCCTCTTAGTATGTTAAGATAAGCATCTTATTGCTTCTTAATTACTTACGGGCTCACCATAGCCTGTGCTACTTGGAACTTGTTCCGAGTAGCTGAATCTATAACAACATCTTAATTACAATTATTACTTAACCTATACCATTGATAGGTTAAGTAATAATTGTAAATAAGAAGCAATAAGATGCTTATCTTAACATACTAAGAAGGTTAGGTGAGGTTGGTGTTTTCTATGAAGCTTTTGAAGGTAAACTTTAAATATTCACAATCATTTAGTATGTCACATATGCACTTATTAAATAAGCCAATATTGACTGAAGCAAGTGCGAGAACGGGTTGACCTAAACACGGCTTCGAATGTAAGTAATGTTTTTCTCGTACTAACACTGTATTATGCAATAGATTAGGTCTTGAATTCACAAATTTAGTTGTTACATCTGACAGAGTATGTTAGACTGTGTAATGCTGGTCCATGTTGACGTATTTGTGGGCTTGGTTGGTTTAAATGTGATGGCACCCCAATATGGGCACACAATAAGGGCACCCAACAACTGCTGCATATTCTAGCTTTGGACTAGCAAAAGTGGTGAACAATTTCTTTAGTATTTCGCCATCCATGTATTTAAAAGCAATTCTGAAGTTGGAATGCATGGCATAGGCTCCTCACACAATGTTCTTTATGTGGTCCTCAGGTGATAGTTTTCTATTTAGAACCACCCCTAGATCTCTTTCTTTATCAGAATTCCTTAAAGATTTCTCACATGGTTTTCAATCAATCTATCACATGATAGATTGTGGGCTGTAAGGGACAGGTTTGATGTATGGATTAGTTGATAGAAGTTCCAGTCCACCTGTAGACAGGGATCTCACATCAGCTTGTATATTAATCAAGGATAAGATTTGATAAATTCAGTTATTTGACTGAACACTGGCTCTATTTAAATCAGAAATTTAAACATACATAGTCTAACCTAGCTCCTTTCTTTTTTACCTAGCCTAACCTAGCTTTTTTTTCCCAAGCCGGTCTATGGCCCGTGTTTTTTTTCGATGCCTCAGTGGTCCATGCACATGTCCGTTCAAGGGGATTAAATAGCCGGTCTATGGCCCCTGGGTTTTACGAACTTTTTTTTCCCAAGCCGGTCTATGGCCCGTGTTTTTTTTTATGCCTCAGTGGTCCATGCACAGGTCCGTTCAAGGGGATTAAATAGCCGTTCTATGGCCCCAGGGTTTTCTCAAATTTTCTTTCATAGCCGGTCTATGGCCCCTGGGTTTTACGAACTTTTTTTTCCCAAGCCGGTCTATGGCGTGTATGTTAAATAAACCAAATTTTTCACTTTTGACAATTGAGCACCTGCTACATCCAGATTCTAGGGAGGAAAGGAATATAATATAATATCTAATATATCTATCTGTGTGAAATAGATTAAATCCATTTATTTGATATTCAGCTAATAGTTCTGTATTTTCTACATTCATCCATGTTTTGGTAAGTGCAATAATATGTATTGTTTCATTGCAGATTAGAGATTCTAGCTAGTTCTAGATTTCCGAAGTACTGAAACGTGCGCCGTACAGGCTTGGTGGATCTAGGTGCAAGGTAAAATTATTTACATTTACTTGTTTTTATATATATATATATATATATATTATATATGTGTGTATATGTATTTGTATGTATATAAATTTGTGTGTAAATCACGGAAATTAACTTGAGGAAACTGGCAACCAAAAACCAGTAGGCAGTCTACTGTATTTTATCAAACCCTTATTAGAATAATAGATCTTGTAAAAATTTACCGATATGGTGCATTCGGAAGACAAACCAAATTTTTTCACTTTTGACAATTGAGCACCTGCTACATCCAGATTCTAGGGAGGAAAGGAAGGACGATCTTACTGGATCCCATAGCCTCTCCGAGGCACTGGTCTATAATTCTTTGCCAATGCTTGTGTTGTGTTGTGTTGTTTTGGTAGTGATGTGCAATGTGTTGTTTTGGTAGTGATTCGTCCAGTTCTGGTAGTAGTGCGGTTGTTGTGTGGTGTAGTACTTGTGTGCTTGTTAATGACTTGTATTCCAGTCTTGTGGGTATCTCCTTTCCCCTACGGGCCAACTGCTTTGTTCTTACCTAGCATTTTGCTTTGTTTGGGTATGAATGTTTGTGTGCCGTATATTTTGCAAAATTTGCCATATATCTCATTATTTACTCCTCTGCCTAGCAACAAGTCTGTCTAATTATACTCATTAACTGTTTTTCAAAGTTCCCCATAGTGTCCTTTATTGAAATCGAGTTCATGAACCGTTTCAATGTTCTTATTTTCTTCTAGATTATATCTTAAAGTATATTTAAATGTTATTGTTATTATTGTTATTAAATGTTATTGTGACATTGCATTGCAATTGAGCTATGTTGTTTACCGTACCGTTCATTTCGTGAGTA